AAAAAGAGATTGGTAGAAACTTTAGGAGTTTGAAGTTTTTTAGAGATATATTGTAATGCTTGTGGAAGGTAGGATTGGTGATATTTGTATTTAATTTTTGTTGAGAGATAATAAATATTTAAGCAGATATAGTAGATGAGAGGTTTGTGTTCGTTGGACGAAAAAGATCTTTAAAAGCAGTATCTGGTATTTTCCATTCAAGAAAAAAGAGATTGGTAGAAACTTTAGGAGTTTGAAGTTTTTTAGAGATATATTGTAATACTTGTGGAAAGTAGGATTGGTGATATTTATAGTTTAATAATAACTGAAATTTATGAATAAAAATCAAAAACATAATGTATAAAATTTTTTATTAATGATGATTTAGTAAAAATTTTATTTATATAATGTGAACTAATAAAACGAAACGAGAATTATAAAAATCTACAAATTAAACGTTTAATAAAAATAAACAATTTTAAAAATGAATATTATTTGTTAATATAAACTCCGAGTATGAAAATTGCTGTCCGGTCAAATGTCGCCGTCGGCAAAAAATCTGAATCAACCAATAATATCATTAAATTTACTAATAAAATTTTAAAACGTAATGAGTCAAATGTCGCCGTCGGCAGATTTTGTCCGGTCAAATGTTGCCGTCGGCAATTTTTCCTAAAAATCGTGACTTTTAGCCAATCAAATCTTTACAGGACTGTTGATTAGCCAATCAGAGTTTGTTAATTAAGTACCCGGAATGCAAAATGTCGCTGTCTAAGAGAGAATTTTAGATTGTTTCCTAATTTGGTAATTTTAACTAGTATGATTACGTAACACTGGCCGTAATCATACTAGTTAAAAATGAAAATTAATAAAAAAAATATAATTAATATATATATATAGTAAGAAAATTAGCTTTTTTTTTATAAATATATATCTATTATAAGTATTATATAAATAAATATATAATTAGGCGCAAATCACTAACTCTTCCCAACGATCACTTGTACCAAATTTCTCTTGAACATATTTGCAGTTTAATAAAAATTTTATTAAGTAAACTACTTTGGGCTGCCTAAGTAAAGTTGCTTTACTCTTAATTTTACTTATAGGCGGTCTAGTTTTATAGCTCTAAAGCTGTTTGTTACAGAGCTACAACTATATTTTT